AGCAGAATGATGTGCAACCAAGTGGTACTTGATTATGACGCCTGAGTTTGGGAACAACGTTTATTTCATGAAAACAGTGAACAAATTATCACTTTTTATTTGTACTTTGGATAATGCTTGACTTAACCACTTTTTCAATAGTTTCTTGTTGGAAATCATCAGATGGAAGCATTGCGTAGACATATTTCTGATCGATTGGTGATAAAATTATTGAAATTGATCCAGGGGCAGCTGAGCTATTAATGTTCAAAATCTTTCATAATTTTGTTTCATGTTCCATTTTCGTTTCTCACAAAGTGTATCCCAGTATAGAAATTAAAGACGCAGTCCTACGTCAAAAGTGTGTACTTTTAGGGTGAAGCGCAGAGCAAGTGAAGATTTTGAATAACGCTGAATGTTTTTTGGCCCTTCACTATATTGTAATATTGGGTGACATAGAATATTAATGAAATGAATCAGACTTATTGTTCAATTTCTCCCTCACAAAACTTCGGCAGTTATTTTTTTTTATAACTTTTCACTCTAAAAAGAAAATCAAATATAAATTCGTAACTCCGTGACTAGTACAACAATTTCAGTGCAGTTTTATTTTAACCAGGATTTAGACCATTTTAGTTTGCTTTTGAATTAGGGGTGGAAGATTTGTCATCTTTTTCAATTACGCGATAAATTCCGAAAACTTTTTCAGATTTTCGGAAATCAGAATAATTATAAATTTTGCCTCAAATTAACATGTACAATCAAAACGCGATGCGATCAAAACACGAATAATAGTAGGAAAACTACTGGGGGAGGCGTCCTTATCGCAGTTAATTCCAAGCTGAAAGCAGAAGTTATCGAGGACGATTCCTGGAACAGGGTTGAACAAGTGTGGGTGGCTATTCAACTTGGTTATCGTCAATTGCTTCTATGTGCAGTGTACATCCCTCCAGATCGAACCCGTGACTTGGAGCTTATTGACGCACATTGTCGATCCGTCTTGGCCGCTTCAGACAAAGCAGGCTCTTCCGACGAAGTTATTGTTCTTGGCGATTTTAACCTACCGGTCATTGCATGGACTCCAACCCATAGTGGTTCCTTTTGTCCTGATCACGAGCGTTCATCTTTCCACGTAGGAACCATCCAGCTCCTGGACAATAGACTGATGCAAAATTTGAAATTTTCGCTCCACAGTGCTCAAACGGTTCCAAATTGGGCCCTGATTAGCCTCCCAAATTTGAACTCATTTAGTGAGAAACTGACTTGGCACAAACCATTTGAAGTTTATATGGGAATTACTACGGAGAAACCATAATTTAGGTTCATATCTATCTCAAAATTCACCAGTTCACTCTACTTTAGAAAATGATAGCTGAATTTGTTGAAAATTTTCTCAGCTACAAGGCTACAGGCTTTGTCAAAGACCACTTTCGGAGACGAGCCAGCCAACGGCTGAAAGTCTCCTTAATAAAAATAAAAAAAAGACCACTTTTCGATCAAATATAAGGAATAAAAGTTATTAATGATTTAAGTCACTGATGTCTTATGATTATGCTCAATCAACTGTTCAGCAGGCAACATTGGGGTTTATGGCGCGTAGAATAGAGGTCAAAAATCATGGCTACTATGTCACACTGCAGAATACAGTGTTGCCTACAATACAGTTGCTTAATCTTGCCATAAGATTATCAATCTCTAAAAACAATTAATAACTATTTAATTTGACGTTTGGCTGAAAAACGATTTTGTGCAAAGTTGTAGCTGATAAAAATTCCCATAAGAATAGCAATCTAACTTTTTTAAAGTACTATATGTAAAAAGGCTAGAATACAATGAACAAAAAGTTTTGTTTTCGCATAGTAATTTCCATATAAACTTCAAATGGTTTGTGCCAAGTCAGTTTCTCACTAAATGAGTTCAAGTTTTGGGAGGCTAATCAGGGCCCAATTTGGAACCGTTTGAGCATTGTGGAGCGAAAATTTCAAATTTTGCATCAGTCTACTGGACAGTTATAGTACCGCAATTCTGTCACAAATTAATGGCCTGTTGAATGAAAACAACCGCACCCTGGATCTCTGCTTTGTGAGTGCTCGTGATACAGCTCCTTGCCTCTCAACGGCACCCGAATCTTTAGTCAAGGAAGTTAGTTATCGTGATCGAAAATAATATTGTTCATGATTTCACCAGCACTCCAAACGCTGTGTCATATGACTTCCGTAGAGCTGACCATCGCAGTATCGTCCAAGTGCTGTCTAACCTAGATTGGGAGCATATTCTAGATCCTGTAGACGTCAACATTGCTGCAAAAACCTTTTCTCACGTCTTGACAACATCTTCGCTCGTTGAAAAGAACTAAGAAGGCTGCTCTCAGAAGATTTACTAAACTCAGAACACTGCCGCTGAAATGCTACTATGTCAGACTCAACCACGAATATAAGCGGTTAAGTCGTCTCTGTTTTCAACGCTATCAAAGGAGGATTCAACGGCGGCTAAAATCACACTCGAAATCCTTCTGGAACTTCGTAAATGAGCAACGCAGGAAAGTCGGCTTACCCTCTTCCATGATTTTTAATGGTGAAACTGCTGGCAATCAACAAGACATTTGCAACCTGTTCTCAGCCAAATTTGCTAGTGTGTTTGAAGACGAGCAACTCTCCGCTAATATCATTACTTCCGCGGCCCATAATGTTCCTTTGATCAACCAAACGCTCAGCATGGCCGAAGCCACTACAGATACGATTTCTAGAGCAGCATCTAAACTTAAGACTTCAACTAAGGCTGGACCCGATGGTGTTCCGTCGATTATTCTTAAAAAGAACATCACTTGTCTTTTAGATCCACTGCGCCGCATATTCCAGCTCTCTCTTTCTAGCAGTATCTTTCCGTCTTGCTGGAAGCCTGCGGATATGTTTCCTGTTCATAAAAAGGAAAGCAAACGCGACGTAAGCAACTACCGGGGAATCACGTCGCTGAGTGTTGTATCAAAACTTTTTGAATTGCTAAATGCTCATTGCAAGCAATATCTAAGTACAGATCAACACGGTTCATAACTGGGCGTTCCACAACTACGAACCTGCTGTGCCTAACGTCTTACATCACAGACAGTTTTATTGCTCAGACCCAAACGGACGTTATCTATACAGATCTTACGGCAGCCTTCGATAAGCTGAACCACGAAATTGCGATCGCTAAGCTTGATAGGCTAGGGATCGGTGGAAATCTTTTGAGATGGTTTCGTCCATACCTCACGGAGCGCCAATTGACAGTAACTTAGGGTACTTGTCGCTCAGCAAGCTTCTGCGCAAAGTCCGGTATACATCAGGGTAGCCATCTGGAACCATTGGTATTTCTCCTTTACTTCGACGACGTTCACCATGTTATCACAGAGCCACGATTATCGTTTGCAGACGATCTGAAAGTTTTTCTGCGCATCCACTCACTCGCCGACTGCCGTTCTCTCCAAAATCAGATTGACATCTTTGCTGACTGGTGTAGTCTAAACCGACTGGCGGTCAACCCAGCTAAGTGTACAGTTATTACTTTCTCACGCAAGAAAAAACCGATTATTGTCAACTACAAACTAGGCACGACTATCGAACGGGTGCATTGCGTTAAAGACTTAGGGGTTTTTCTAGACTCAAAGCTGACATACTCACACCATATATCGTATGTCGTCGACAAAGCGTCCTGAACGCTTGGCTTTGTCTTCAAGATTACTAAGAACTTCACAGACATTTACTGCTTGAAATCGCTCTATTGCTCTCTCGTACGATTTACGTTGGAATACTGCTCTGCAGTCTGGAGCCCGAACTACAATAATGGGGCCGAGCCAATTGAACGACGTTTTCTTCGCTTCGCGCTCCGTAAGCTGCCTTGGAGATACCCACTTCGTCTTCGTCACAGCTACGAGAATCGCTGCCAATTGATCGATGTCGAGCCCTTACGTATCCGAAGAGATGCTTTCAGAGCCTTAACCGTCGCGGATACTCTGCAAGGAAGAATCGACTGCGAAGCAATTCTACAACAAGTGAACATTAATGTTCAACCTCGATCACTACGCAACAGTCTTATGCTGAGACTTCCACTTCTTCGAACTAATTATAGCTTAGGGAGCGCTATTTACGGCTTGCAGCGAGTGTTCAACCGAGTAGCGTCGATGTTCGATTTCCACTTGACACGGAATATGCGTCGCCGAAGATTCTCTGCCATTTTTGCTGACCGAAGGCGCTTGATGCCCAACAGCTAAGTGTAAAATTTAAGACTTATAAATTTTTAGTAACTTGACAATCCTTTCCTAGTTATTTTCGTTTGTAATTGTAGTAACTGTAGTATATGTAGTCTGTATGATGTGTACTTTTTTTACAACACATCATTGGGACTATTTCTAGTCTGTTGATGCAAACATAACATATAAACAAAATAAACAAATAACACCATTTTCGCACTAATTGGAATCCAATTCTTAGTTTCATGGTATTCAAAAAACCTCACGGTGAGGTCCATAGATTTCGTGAAATCACGATTTATTCCATACAGTAATGCAACGAACTTGTAGAATTACCAACATTGAATTCAATAAGGACAATCCTCCGGATAGATGGGAAAGTTTTTTCTGTTACATTCAATCGTTTACACTTCAACCTGATCAGTCTATGTACTTACTTGAAGAAAATTCTAAACTGACACTTAATCACCGCTCTAAAGGTTGCAGAAACCAATTAAACCGAATCTTACATCTGGTTGGAAAAGTCACTGTTTTCATCAGCTCCCTGTTTTTACCCCTGAACCAAGCGACCTTCCGGAAATAGCCTCCATCAATCAGCGCATCCATTGAAAGCAACACAGAGACGACAGGTTACTCTTTTCAACTATCATGTGCGGTAGACTGTAGAGAAGCCTTGAACATGAACAATGTCCATACCTTGCAATCTAATTCAAAATGACACACCACGAAGACAAGAACACAACCACAGCAGAATGAAAATAAACAATTGATTTTGTTTCTACTTCCTGTTACTTACGTTGTTTATCCGCTGGCTGGTTGTTTTTGCCCATATTGGCTCGTAAATCTATCGACAGCGTGCCCGCGCTCGTTGCTTTCTCCTATGCACTTGGTACAACTTATTGACTCGTATCACTCGCCGGCGGTTGGCACCTTGGTTGATTCGATTTCCGTTTTCTTCTACCCGGCTATTGCTTGCAGCTATATCCTACTTATGTTGATTCGTTGGTTGTAGTATTGTAATCCTAACGTTGACTTATTCGTCCACTAAAGCTGAAGGAGAAATTTGGCCCCAATTTGCTTGCACTGACGGTAAGCACTTACTAATACTAGAACGGCTAAACTATGTATGAAGTGACTTGTTTCGTTTTCCCTCGGAATGCCACTATTCAACAACAGGAAAAAGAAAAGAACAGCGGCTCTTCGGACTAAGGACACTTGCAAAGACACTTTTTGTACAGAAATACGTGGGATAGAAGTTTTCCTTTTCGGTGGTGGAACTTTTTTACATTCACTACTGGTACTTATACTACACTTCTAATAACGATTGGAACCGAACACGCTGCTTCAGCCGTAATTGGCAGTTGTCATGCGATTTTGTTTAAATTATCATTTTTCCACACTTTTGAACTTTATGCTTATTTGTTTTAAACCCATCGGATGGACACTAAAGCTTATACAATACTTATGCACTAGCTGAGGTGCACTGATACTTCTCTCGTGGATCACAACGTACTTTGGCAACGAAGGACTTTTTCCTCTTCATTTTATTTTTATTTTCGCACTGGTTAGATTTTCCTCAATAGGCTTTCCGTGTATGTGGCACTAATTTTCACCCGCGTTGGGGGCGTATTCTCCTTCTTCTCTTATTTCACTAAAACACACTTTCCGGCACGGAATAGCCCCACTGAGATTGCACTTTGCTTCTTTTGGAATGGTCGACTTGAAACGAATAAAAAAAAAATGAACTCTTTTCCTGTTTCCGGTTCCGGTGGAAGGGTTATTGCTCATCGGAGGATTGCCAGCGGCAGGTTGGCCTCGATTTTATTGGTGGGACCCACAGCCAGTGCTCGAACGGTGGTACGGATCGCGGTACCAAGCACCCTTCCATTAGAAGTGTCAGTGGGCGAATGCGAATCCTGCAAGTGTACAAGACGGAGAAACGAATCAGAAATGCGAGCATACGAGTGTGACGAGTGATGAGAATATTCCCCACGTTGACCACCACGGTGTGGATGTAGGTGTGTGCGATAAATAGCAGGAAACGTAAGTGTAGGGGCGTAAAAGCGAAAGGACCTTACGGTCGTCGGCGGGTGCAGCAAGCGCCGTGCCGGTGGGCGGTGGTCACCGTTCGGCAGGATATGAGAAATGTGGTGGGATTGGTTGATGTGCGGGAGGATCAATTATTGCCGGTGGTAACAGGGATGAGTGGAAGCATTGGATCGGTTGGTTTATCTTGACAGAATATGGGTTAAACGAACCTATAGTAGCATTTTAAATGTTTCTGAATTGCTGACGTTTTCAAGAACCAGTCAATGATTTACAAGACGGATTTTTTTCATCTTCGACGAAATTCATAGTAGCACGTCCGAAAGCATTCGACCCATGCTGTTAACTACCCTCCATTAACGAACCGCACCCAAACCTGGTAGCCTGCTTTCCCTGAACCCCAGTGGTGTATATCTTTCCGGTACAGTCACACGGCTCATGATGATGATGATGGCAGGTTGTCGTTTCCCGGTACGAGAGGCGTAGTGAGAAAATCAGCTGGTGTCCGATTGTTTTTCACTAGCACTACACAGCCCGCACTTCAGGGAAACCAAAGACATTGTCTAGCACTTGGAATTATAGCCGCGATAGAGGTATGTATATATATACCGGTAACTGAATTATTAAACGTTTTAATTCTATTTGAACTGGAAGGTTTTTCAATAACTCATCGTACCCAGGATTTACACGCGATGAAGACGACTCCAGCGACGACGACGACGACGACGACGACGACGACGACGACGACGACGACGAAGACGACAGTCAGTGCAACCTTGAACCAAGTGAAACGGATCCAGCAAAAACATGTGGTTCCGTTCGATATTAGTCACCTACAGTCAAGATGTGGGGGCTACGGCTACTTAGCCGGTGTCAATTGGAGGAAAAATATGTGTGACCTGCTATTTATTGGCTTTCGATGTAGTGAGCTTTCTGCTTAAGGATTGTAAATATTTCAGTGTTTCTGACTGGTGGAACTGTAGAGGTTGATTGTTGATTTTCTCACTCCACGCGAACGGATCTTGATAGCAATTGGGTAAATGTTTACAAGTACGTGACATAATTGCGCGGTGTTGTACACTTGATGATTCATTCAAAATCGGTGTATGGATAAGTGAATAATCGGAGTGTGGTGGAATTCATTGCTTGAGGCCCTGGTAAATAGTTTAGTTTTATGTTTTTACTATAGTCACTTCACAAGTAACAATTTTGGTTAACAGTCATAAAATTTCCCAAGATGTTCATCGCTCTCTCATTTAATGATTGGTATAAATTTGTGTTAGTTGGTATTGTAGCTCTACCAGTGCAGTTGTTTGAATGTTCAAAATCGTAGACTTTTTAATTTACTCTTCAGTGGTTTTTTTTTCCCTACCTCACAACATTTACATTTTAGCAGGGAAAACAATTTTATGCAAGGGAAAACATTCTATGATTTATTTATGACTGTCTTGAAAATGGTTGATTGAAATTGATATCTTATTTTATCAAAATTAAATAAAAAATAGACTTATGTAAAACCTTATGCGGGGCGACATTGGGCCAAAACATAAATTTGGTTAAAATATCTTAAAGTATAGAAATGTAACGTAGCTATTAGGAGTACATTTGGTTATGATCACAATGTACTTGCTTTGTATGGTTAAGGATCGCGTGTAGTGCTCGTCTATCCACATACAAGTGTGTTCAAACTTTTTGTTGCCTATGGACATTTTTAAAATTTAAAATATTTATGACACTTAACTTTACAGCACTATTTAAATAAAACAGCTGGTTAATGTTATCTACACTTTACTTCAGGAGTTCACGGAACATATTATAGGCAAGATTTTCTCATTTCTGTATAGTCAAGATATTTGCATTAATAAACATTTTTCAATTTTGGCCCAGTGTCACCCCGTCTCACGGTTGATATACCAATAATGCTAAAGAATTATGATAAGTCTTGGTGCAAAACTTCACCGCAGCTGGCATTAAACAATAAAACTTTCTAGTTCTACAATATAGAGTGTGGTGTCTACAGCTAACTTATGGATATTTTTAACACAAACAAATTAGCTCAAAATTGAAAATCTCTAAATGTCTTAGTTTTTGATATACTGGCGTTTATTAAAGGGTGAGTCGATAATTATTGCGACACTTTCAAAGTTGCGTAACTTTTTTTTTATACTTGACCGAAATTAACCAAAATTTGCTCAATTTATCTTTAGAGTGCATTGTTTGCATCCGCTCAGTTGTCAGTGAGATTCCGGTCGAGATCAAAGAAAATCAACAAACCGTTCGCGAAAGGATTTTGTTCACCCACATGCAAAATCCTGGGTTGTCGCATCGCGCCTTGGGAATCTGATGAATATACATCGTTTGACCGTCTCAAGGGTCCTCCAAAGGTTTCGAGAACGGATGACAGTGGATCACAAGCCAGGAGCAGAACGAAAACCGAAAACAACGCGCACAAAACCGACAGAGCACTGATTGCTCATTTCGAGCGGATTCCGAACATTCGCGGGACTTGGGCAAAAAACTTGATGTTTCGCAAAATTTCGTCCAGAGGGCCAAGAAACGATCCGGATTGAACACGTACAAGGTGCAGAACATCCCAAATTGGGACGAACACCAGCCTAGTGTTTCCAAAAACGCGTGCCTGGAAACTCTACACGAAGCTGCTAATGAAATACCTGTGCTGCGTCATTGATAATGAGACCTACATCAAAGCAGTGTAGGCAGGCCAGTGACAAGGCCTATACTAAAGAGCCTGAATTTGTAAAGAAGCGACATCTTATCCATTTGACAGGTCTTCTGCTCGATTGGAATGACTTTTTCTATAACTTTGACAGACAATCGATTGTTCCAATTTTGACATGTCGTCTCTTTATAAATTCAGGCTCTTTAGCCTATACCAACAGCCGCGTTTGACAGTAGGCAGCATTATAGTCGCTATATTCATAGTCTGGCGGATAGCATTTCGATCTATCAAAAAGCGGAACCAATTCAATATATTCTAGACCAACAATTGAAAAGGTACTATCAACTTTTATAAACAAAACGTTGATTATTCTTTCCTCGCCAATCCAACTTATTATAAAACTTACCTAAACCCAAAAATGGTGTTAGTTTGTGTAGGCGAGCCTTGAGTCACGAGAAAAGGGTTTCCGAAGTTTTGTTTGCAATAGCTGATGTGCTCTTTTGTGTTGTTGGTCGTGATTTGCTCGATTTTTTCCGCTATTTGACAGCTCAATTGGTTCCCGAGATTCTATCCGCCAGACTATAGCGACTATAGGCAGCATGTCCCGGGCTCAAATAATTTATTTTACTGTGCTGGGCCCGCTGTCACGGTATAACATGTTGCCTATGCGCCTGCCACTGGGCTGAGTGTAGGGTTGCAAATGAGAAACTCAGCAAATAGGCAAAATTATTCTTTGTTATGCCGTTAAGAACCATTGCCATTCAAAATAGTTGTTTTCTCCATACATTTTCGGAGAGAGGACTATATTAGAACCATTTTACTTATGGTTTGAGAACTTTAATGGTAATGGTTATGGTAGTCAGAAAGATCCATTAATAGTTTTGTATTATCGGTCAACTTTACGTGGAATATATCGCGAATTGGTAATTAGTCATTTACAGGCAACCTATTCGCGATATATTCCACATAAAGTTGATCGATGTTACAAAACCATCTGTGAACCTTACCGAGTACCATAACCATTACCATAAAAGTTCTCAAATCATAAATAAAATGGTTCCAAAAATGTATGGAGAAAACAATAATTTGGAATGGTAATGGTTCTTAACAATCCATTATTTGTAAGGTTCACTTCCAAAGAACCATAATGCATAAGGCTAAAACTTTATCACACAAACGTTCATGTAAAGTTCCATAGCCGTTTCAGTTAAAGTTTAGACAATTTTTAACCGTTTTCGGTAAGGTCAAGTTATGGTTCACATTTATGCGGGAAAGCAAATTATTAAACTAGCCGAATACCGGTTGAGTGTACGATGCACTTTGATACAAATCAGAAACACGTAACAGTACAATTATGATACGTTTATGGTTTACAGTTTGAATGACAGAAACAAATTTGAACTTTGTATTTCCATATTATTTAAGTTTGGTTATTAGCAGCATTGGCTTTTGCAAGGCCTCCATGCTTTTTGTAACGGTAGTAACAGTCTTTAAACCATTCTATATGCTCGAGTATTGAACGTCTGAAAGTGAGGGTAACAATAACAAACCAACATTTTTGGCTGGAGCAAAAGTAAGGATCCATGTAAATATTTAAAAAAATGAATAGGAGAAATGACTCTTATGTTGGCCTATGGATCTAAGATTGGGCCCATCGCTGCTATTTATCAATTTTATCTAGATGATCGCGTCATTGGGACCGTACTAATGGATTATTTTTGGTCGCTATTGAAAATTTGTATGGGCCCAAATTAGGGGCATGTAGGCCAACATTACATCCATTTCCCCTATATGTTTGAAAGCAGTCGTGTTTATTTTAATAGCCCCTTCAAGCTACCACAAAGCGTCATTGATGGAATCTCTTGTACTTCTGAATCTTATTATTATTATTATTATTTAGCTTTATTAAGGGGGTATTCCCAATCTTTTGCCTTTTTTCGGCCTGTTTTTCTATTAATTTTTTTTCAAGGAAAATGAATAGTAATGCGCCTAACCCTTTGGGATTCTTGTTTTTTAAACATTAAAGTTTACAAATAAATTTTTTTCGACATAAAAAAAGACATTATTGACGTCACAAAATGGCGGCAAACAGACCCTGTTCGCCGCAAACGCCTGGACGGGCGAAGACTTTTCTCTGGAACGGCTTCATCTGAAACAGATTTCGTGATGAAATTAATAATCTGCATAAGA